TGCCATTTGCCTATCCCACCATCCTGGTGTGTGGACCCTCATGCCTGTCCCCTGGTGTGACAAGAACAGGTGGACCTGTAAGCCTCTGGACTGCATTTTAGGTAAAAGGAGACAGAAAAGGGGGAAAAGGGCATTTTGCTACCAAGGCTCACCTTCATTTGCAAAAGAAAATGTGCCCACCCAAGAAATGCCCTCCCATTCTCATTGGCAAGAACCATGGTGTGTGGACAGCCGAAGTGAACAGGAACGGCCTGAGCTGGCAAAGAGTACACCGACTCGGAATTTGGCTCATCGCTGGCTAAGTCAAACTGCACTCTGGTAACTAGCTCCACATTAAGATGTATAAAATAATTTTTAGTGAATGAACATTTTCCTGGGTTTAATTTTTTTAAGTGACTCCATGCTTTCTATTTGAGATAACCATGAAATTACAGAAAATGCACACTGGGAATATCTGCACAGCAGCCTTGACCTTCTTGTTTTGGCTAGCTGCACAAAAACTCTCTATGGCTCTAATGTTTGGTATTCTATGTTTGTTTTATGTGGAAACCAAATCTCTAGGTAGACCAAATATGCTTGGAAATTCCTGTAGCAATAGAAATTGTGGCTGAAATGTGCTGTGTTCCCATTAGAGATTTTGTATTTCACATATTACATTAAAAAAACAAAAACAAAAACAAAAACCAACACAGTAAATACTGTGAAAGTTACAAGGGACTGTAATGTTTTTCTACAGAAAATTTCAGCAGGGATTTTTCAGATGGAAAGATCTGGCATTTAATCACTTCCTGTAATAAGTGAGGATTTGTGTTTGCTTTCATCATAAGGTTTGTGCAGTCACCACACAGAAATAGAGAGAAGGTAAGTGAGAAATCAGCTCCCATGGGAGATGGCCACACCACAGTCCCTTCCCCTCCAGTCTCCTCTTGGGATTTTGGACATACATACACACATGCCAGGTGTAAGTTTCAAGCCACTGGGTCCAGGACTTAAACTGTGCAGTCGGCCACGTGGGATCTGGTACCTTAACCTTCATGCCATCTGCTGACCCAGTAACGGAGGATTTTAAACTTTGGGTTAATTTTCAGAATGTTTTGACTGGCTTAGGGCTGCAGATGTAAAACACTGAAGTCTTAAATAAAGCGAGACTTCGGATAGAGTGTAACACTGTAATTGTCAAATGTAAAATAGTGAATGGTAAAAGGAAAATAAATGCAGTGAGAACAGAAATGAATTCATGTCCTTCGGATCCAAATATAGTAAGTTAGGGAATTCTATCCATTTCTAATGTCACTGTAAGGCCAGACACTGTGCTCTGGGGTTCCTGGCTAGGATTTCCAGAAGGAAGGGTGTGGTTTCTTTTTCCTGTCGGAAGGCTGGCACTCAGGCGACGCTGAAGGGAAGGCTGTCAGGCCCTGGACATCCTGCAGTCAATTCCAGACACTTAGGGTTGAGTCTTCAGAAAAAAGAAAGAGTTTTCTGAATTTTTCACATCACTGTATTCTTTTTTTGGGGGAGAGATTTTTGCTATAGGGTGCGTGCGCTTGCCAGAAAGAGAGAGAGACAAAAAGTGAGAAATCACCCTCTGGGGAGATGGCCATGCCACAATCCCTTCTCCTCCATTCTCTTCTTGGGATCTTGGGCATGCACGCACACGCGCCCAGCTTGAGTTTAAGCCACTGGGTCCGTGACTCAAACCATGGTCAACTACACGGGAGTCCAGCAACATAGCCATTATGCCATCTGCTGGTCCCCCACATCACTGTATCCTAAACATGACTGGACAAGTATATTTTTGTTACGAAAATGTTAATAAACACAGTACTTTTAGTCACAAAAAAGAGCAGCATTTGTTCAACAAAAGAAATATTAATAAACTGTTGCATGAGGACATATTAGACATTTAGTAAAGATAGAGACAAACTGATAAAGCATTGGTGTGCATCGATGAAAATCTGGTGTCATTTATGCTAATTGAGTTTTAGGTGAGTTGGAGTCACTCCTTGTAGAGCAGGAAAGGTGTCTGTCTCCAGGCCTCTCAGCGGCCGCTCCCTTCTCACAGACACTCCCCAGACTCCTGCAGCCAGGTTCTCAACATGCCGCATGAAGGCAAACCACTGAATTCTGAGTAGACGCGAGCTGAGTGCAGGGCATGGAATGGGCAGCCTGCTTTTCAAAGGGCCCAAAGATGGAGTCGGCAGTCAGCAGCTTGCCTCCTGCTCTGGCTCAGCTGGGGCCGCTTCCTGCCACTTACTCAACCTCGGCTTCCTGTCCCCTCTGCTGATGACTTCCAAGGAGGGTCATCTGGAAATGCAGAGCTCCCAGGAGCATCCCCCGAGGAAGCCTGAGACTATCCTTCCTGCTGGCCTGGGCGGCAATGAGCCCCTTAAAAAGACAGAGCCTGGGACCTACCCCTCTGCTCTTGTGGAGGAGTATTCTAGGTCTTCAAGGCTAACGCCCCAGGGCAGGGAGAACTTCCTCTGCATTGGAAAGCAGTTCTGCCTGGCACTGAGCTAACCCCATGCCACTGTCTCTGAGTAGGAGACAAATACTACTGTGTCACTTTGTGGTGACAGAGTCCAAGAAGCACGTCTGAAACACTCCACGACAAGCGACAACTCTGACATACAGTGAAATCCTTGCGATTCATCTGCACAAGGGAAGGAAGATAGTAGTTGCTCCATTTTGCTTCTATCTGCTTGAAAGTGTCACTACAGAATAAAAGGGAGATGTTTTTTCTTTGTAAAGCACTTCAGACACATTGCAAAGACTATGTCATAGGCGAAATCTCTAGCACACCATCAATTCATCTGTCAGGCACGCGATGTCTACGTTGCCAAGGGGTGGGGTTTGAGGAGGGGAGAGGAAAGGCCCCTGCCCTTGTCAGACACCTGACAGGGCTTCTGCCTGCACCTTTCTGGAGGTCCCAGTGAGAGGCTGGGGTTCCTCCCCAGCTCCTCTGGCCACCTGCATCCTGGCAGGACCGTGCTCAGCAGACATGTTACAGCCTCCCCTTCTTGCACCCACTAGTCGCTGAGCAGTTACCCCAAGTCAGATACAGTAACTTGGAAAAAGGGCCTAAAACAGACACAAAGCCCTGGCCTCACAGAGCTCGCATTCCACTGGCACAGGGTGCGATCACCTTCACCTGGTCGGGAGCAGGCTGGCGTTTTACACTCTGTGCTAAGTACACGTGGACGAGCCAGCTCTGAAGTCAGAGTGAGCCCAATACCGGCACGGCCGCTCACTAGCGGGGTCACCACCTGAGTCCGAAAGGTCCTCAACTGTCAAGCTGGAGCAAAAGCACCTACTGCGCAGCTGTCAGTGCAAAGAAAATGAAAAGTCCTGTCCCTTAGCACGGTGCCTAATGCAAAGCCAACGGTGAACAGCCGCTATCCTTAGCCACTCTGCGGCTACCCCGGCGATACTCGGAGTAGACTGAAGGGCAGATGCTGAGAAGAGCATGGGGCTTGCTGCTAAACTTAAAGGGGGCACGAAGACAGGAGCTCAGTGGCCCCTGGCTCCAGTGAAAAGGACAGAACATTTTTCCTTCCAGAAAGAATATATACTCAGTCCCATTGTCTTTAAACCTTCTTGACCCATTTTGCTTTCTGATTTTTTGGGGGAAAATAAAGACTAGAGAGATTTCTCCCTGAGAAAGCCAGTGCAGTGACGAGCAAGCACATCAAGGTCAGACTGGGTGCCTCTGTCCTGGCTAAAAAGGCAGAGCAGTCTCCCGCCTCAGACAACTGTCATCAGGTGAGGCTGGAAGTCATGATCCGTTTTTGCATAGAAAAACAGAAAAATGTCATAACTCTCCTGAGGACCTAAAATTTTGCAAGAGCTTCCAGGATTCCTGACTGTCACATGAACTCTCCCAACTAACATTCGTTCCCTTAGCAGGTGATGCACGAGTCCTACGAAGCATGCGTGCAGCTGGAAAGTGGCCAGTTTCGGTCGCTGAGTAGGCAGGGACATGGCACAAATGAGCTGGGCTCCATCAGCACCACCACCAGCATCTACACGTCTGCAGGTGGTGACCAAGGCTAGAGAAGCCCCGGGTCTGGATGGTGTTTAGGCCAGGAAAGGCACAGGACTACGGGATCAGGTTTTGTTGTTGTTGTTGTTGTTGTTTTTTGGAGAGGTTTTGCCATAGGGCACGTGCACTTGCCAGAAAGACAGAAAGATAGAAAGCGAGAAATCCCCACCACCTCCCCAGGGGGGATGGCCACGCCGCAATCCCTTCTCCTCCCGGGATCTTGGGCGTGCACGCAACACACACCCAGCATGAGTTTAAGCCACCAGGCCCCGGCTTCGAACTGCATTTGGCTACATAGGAGTTCAGTGACACAGCCATTACGCTAACTGCTGGCCCTCCAGGATCATGTTTGAAAAGGCTCTTCTACCCAAACACTCTGACTTCACGGCTCTCACGGAGAAGTCCCTGGTCAGGATGAGCATCAGTGTGCAGGCGCAAGCTGACAGAGCAGGCTAGTGTGTTACTGTGTTACTCTACACCACTTCCGCCTATAGGATGTGGGGCAGGCCTGAAGCCTCAGCAGCTGAGCAGTGTACAGAGGGAGCTAGAGTCCATATCATGACTGTGGTTCAAATCCTGGCTCTGAAGGCTTGAGAAACACACAAGTTTGTGTGTGTGTGTACCCAGGATCCTGATGAAGAAATGCAGGAAAAAAGGATTGTGGCATGACCAAGTCCTTTTCAGGGGTGCCCTTTTTCTCTGGTGTGTGTGTGTGCACACCCTCTGACAAAAAAAAAGAAAGAAAAGAAAAGAAAAGAAGATATAGGACTACAACTGTGAAATCCTGGGAAGGTCAAGGTCTTAGTGAAGGTCACATAAAAATCTGGTTAAATACTTCAGACTAAATTTGGAATTTGGAACACAGGAAGATTTATCCTATTTTATATCTCCACACATATTCAGTGTGGTACAGATAGTACGGTAAGTTTATCTTGACACACAGGCACGGACGACATTTGGGTTTCGTGAACATCAGTGACTTTATTAATCTTCTGCTAAAAAACATCACCTACCCCTGCTGATCCCACAGGAAGGGCAAGAACTGCAGAGAACACAGGAAGTCAGGAGCTCCGGGGTTTTTGGTTAATAGTCTTAGTAGAGACATGATTTGCTGGTTATGTTTAGGATTCAAATCATTTCTTAAAATGAGATGAGTAGGTCTGATGTATCTGGACCTGAATATAATCAATACAGGGAAAGTACCGGCAACCAAAACACGCTTTCTGAGTTCCACGAACCTAACAAGCACACGTCACACATCATTTCCATGAGCAGCAAACACATATTTTCCACAAACACTTTAAAGGTGCTTTTATTGAAAAAATAAAACGGAATTTTAATTGCATAGTCATTAGCAAGTGTAGTTTTTGTATGTCTATCAAAACCCCTAAGCTGGTATTTAAATTCCACCTGGCCACAACACAGCAAAGCAGCATCTGGGAACCCATCACCTGGTGAGGCTGCAGACTGGTTTAGGGGTCCCTGGGCCCCATGACTAAGCCTTTCTAGGGTATCCAGGCCCAGCCCTCAGCTCTTAGGGAAGTTATTACATACAGTCTTTTTTATTTTTTTAAGAATTATTTTATTAAACTTTATTTATTTATTTAAATTTGACCAGAAAAGGGGAGAGAGAGAAAGTGAGAAAGCAAGCTGCAGGTCTGGGACTCAAACCATGGTTGGTCATGTGGGAATCCAGCACCCTTAACCACCATACCACTTGCCGGCCTCATTACACATGGTCTTGGAATCCATAGAAAAACACCAACCAAGGTGTTCATAATGTGGGTACCTACGGGCAATAAAGCCAATGAAAAATCTAAAATTTAGGCAAATCTGATTAGCAAACTAAAGTAGGTACTTTAGTTTTGTCAACTGAGCAACACATTATGAATTTTAAAACTCTCATTTAAAAACAGGTTTCTGATTAAAAAAAGAAAGAAAGAAAAAACACTTGATTTCATCTTGACTTTGGGGAAGGAAAACCCCACTGCAGCTCTGTTCTCTCACAGGGTCACTACCCCACAACGGTGTCTTTATACCACTGGCCACGAGATGGCGCTGCCACACATCTGGTTTTCACATCTCAAACAGGAAAGTTAAGGAGGGTAACATATCACATTATTGTCTATCTTAGGCCAATTCTTTCCAACAAAAATGAATACAACGTTTGCATAAGACATATAGAACGTGAACATATGACTGAAGAATCAAAGAACCGACTCAACCACATCCACTACGTGGCACCTGCTATAGGAAGTCACTTCAGGTGTCACAGTAAGGCCATCCTCCTTGCTCAGCAGCATGAAATGCCTCGACACCACAATTCCTTTCTTTGATGCTCAACGTGGCCAACATGGCCAAGATTACAGGAAAAAGCCAGACCAGCCGAAGAAATCAGGATGGCAAATATCTGCTCCTAAAGGTGAACCGAGGTCTTCAAAATACTTTGTGGCTACTCCAACGTTAATGCTAATGAGACTGAAAGTCAGTATTCCACTTAGAACTAAACACGAAACATTTGCTACCGTGTTAATTTACAAAGTCACTACTGCTGGAGCTGTGCCCCATCTGCTGGCGTCGCAGGAGTGGCCGGTCCCCAGCTACGGTCTCTTCTTCTGCAGCACCTGACCATTGGTCCTTTCCGGCCGACTGCTCTTGGTTTCTGGCTGTGCGAAGTTCCAATCCACGGGATTGAGAAGCTGCTGAGTCTTCTTATGGGTCCAATATGGATTCAGGATTAATGTGAGCAAGAACAGTCCAAGCAGGAAGAGTGCAAAATGAGGCAGGGCCAGGCTGCTGACCAGGCCATCCCAGTGCCAGAAGCACACCCACCACATGTGGTAGGTTAGGATCATGCGGCAGTGGAACATGTGGATCATCAGCCACTGGTTGACCTTCCAAAACAGGGAATCGGACCAGCCGGCCTGTGGGGAGACAGAACAGATGCAGACGTCACCACAGACCTGTCGAAGCTGCTTCTCCACGTTTAGAAAAGGCACGTGCAACCTTATTTCACAGAGCACAACAGACTGAATTCAACGCCACTTCTGCTAAGGATGTGGCTCTCCTTGGGGCTTAATTCTGAGAGAAGGCCAAGGTCTCTGTAGGAGAGTGCCAGGCCGGCGGGTGGTTTGATCCTTGTTTTCTGTTCACCTGTTTGTCTTGCTCTTCTTGGTTTCTGCTCCCTAAAGCAAACCTCTATCTTCTGTTTCTGTTTTTTTAAGTTAAGTTTTTAATCTTGAATTTATACCTACTGAGTAAGCAGGTCCCATACCCAGACCTTGGGAGAAAGCTCTTTCAGCACAGAGAAGTTCAGGGAAAAATACATTTTCCTGATTGATACGTTTATCTCAGGAGACCTCAGATAGAGGCCAAAATGAATCAGCCTAAAAATTAGGCCAAACATGCATTAAGACAGGTTTTCTGTAGTCATAGCTGAAATGGAACTGGGAACCTGGGGAATCTGAAGGTGAAACGCATCAGATCACAGACGCGAGGGTGGGGCCTGTGGCAGGGCCCTGTCAGCCCAGGATGGCCCGGTCAGCCCAGCACAGGTCAGCACTGCAGACCAGTGAGCCTCCTGCACGCTGGCCTCTCCAACCGCCTCTGACTCTGCCAACCCAAGCTGCTCAGTCATCCCCGGCAGTTCTTCCCCAAGACAGGGATGCTCAGTAGTTAGGGACAAGGTGGCACCAGGCTACATGGACCAGCCTAGGGTCAGGTAAGAGAAGGTAGGGTGGTGTACCTCAGGCAGCGACCATGCAGTGGCTTCAGGAAAAAAAAAAATAGGTTTTATTTTTCTTTTTAATTTTTAATATAGGGCATGTGTACTTGCTGGAGACAGAGAAACAGAGAGAGAAAGAGAGAGCAAGCACAAGAAAGAAATCACCCCCTGGGGGATGGCCACCCTGCAATCCTTTCTCCTCCAGTCTTCTCTCAGGATTTTTGGCATGCATGCACACATGCCATGTGAATTTTAAACTTCCCAGTGTGGGACCGTGGTCAGCCATGTGGGAGTCCAGTACCTTAACCCTCAATATATATATATATATATATATTTTATTTAGAGAGATTTTTGCTATAGGATGAATACACTTGCCAGAGAAAGAGAGACAGAAAGCAAGAAATCAATCCCGAGGAGGGATGGCCATGCCACAATCCCTTCTCCTCCATTCTCCTCTCGGGATTTTGGGCACGCTCGTACACGCGCCCAGCATGTTTTAAGCCACCAGATCCAGGACTCAAACCATGGCCAACCACTTGGGATTCCAGCAATGGAACCATTACACCATCCACTGGTCCTGACCCCTCAATATTTTAAGTTGAAAACCTAACTCTCAATGTGAGGGAAGCTTTGGGAAGTAATTATATTTAAATGAGGTCATGAGGTTGGGGCCCTCATGATGGGATTAGTGCCCTTCTGGGGAGACCTGAGTGCCCTCTCTCCAGTGCAGGCCAAAAAGCCAGCCCTCAACAGCAAGCACCTGGATGGCTGACACCTCGATCTGGACCTGAAGCTCCCAAAAGTAGGAGAATACATTTAAGGTGCCCAGTCTGTGGCAGCCTGAGCTAAGACAATACCCAAATATTCTAACTTTAACTTCTCCTGGCAGTTTTAAATATGTAAAACTCCAAGTATATTGCTTTGCTTTGCCTGAGTCTAGACTGAAAAAAAAATGTAAATGTAAAGGACACTAGAAGAGAAGGACCAACGGACAGAGAAGCCCAGCATGCCTCACACAGCTGAAGGGGCACTTCTTCCTGAGGGCTCAGAAGAGCACTGCAGGACTCCTAGTCCGGCCTCACTGCACGCTGCTGGCCGCTGGGATGCTCGCAACTGCTCACTCACACGCCACTTTCAGAAAGCACTGGGGCAACTCTTCAAAAACATGCAAGGGTATAGCTCGTCTCCAACCTGTGTTTGGTGCCACCTGAAGGTAGCCCGTGGTCCCACAGTCCCCGAGGATGCCTCACGCTGTGCTGGAGCACGTAAACATGGAAAAGTAAAAGCTAAGGAAGCACGGATCCAAGACAAGTCTGAGTCCTTCAAATTAAAGAGGACACAGGAGGAACTCGCTGGGACCAGAGGATCTGGTCTGGATGGTTGAGTGACTTGAGATGAAAACTAAACACATTTCCTTATTTGTGAAATTGCAGGGTTAGGCTAGGAGTTCTCAGGTTCTTGGCACATCCCAAGAGGAAGTCACAAATGCAGTTGGGACTCAGTTCACATGGGGCTGACAGATCTTCATTTGCCTGGAGCAGTCCCTGTTGTCCCTTTTAATTCTGAAGGATTTCCCAGTTTCGGTGATAAATATTATGGCCAGGACCAGCAGATGACATAATAGTTACACTCCTGGATTCCCACGTAGTCAACAGTGATTCAAGTCCCAGACCTTGTCGCTTAAAACTCATGCCAGGTGCACGTGTGTGTGTGCCCAAAATACCAAGAGAAGAATGGAGGAGAAGGGATTATGGTGTGGCCATTCGCCCCCGGGGGGATTTCTTGCTTTCTGTCTCTCTGCCTTTTTCACTCTGGCGAGTGCATGTGCCCTACAGCAAAAATCTCTCTTAAAAAACAACAACAAAAAAAATTGGCCTCTCTATTAAGTAGGTTCCACCCCAAGTCCAAAGCCAATGATAGATAACACCGGGCTTTGGGAAAGACAGGTTCTCAATCTCATGCATCCCTCAGGACCTCAACGGCAGCACGAGGCACGAGGTGAGGCCAGGCAACTGTGCCCCTAGCTGTACCGGGGCTCAGGCCTTTGTGCAACTCCTCTGGACTGAGCCAGAGCTTGTCTTCCAGATGAGCACCGCGGGGCCCTACTGGAGTTCTGAGGACCCACATGCTCCAGTGAGTGGGCTGCAGGTTCCAGAGTGAGGATGCAGGAAATGACTATGTACTCTACTCCTTTACACATTTTCAGTGCCTCTGTGAGTGGAACCATTAACTCAGAGGAACATTAAAGCAGTCGTGACTCAAAGGGAGGCACATCATGTTCTCGGATGGAAAAACACTGAGAAGCTGTTATGGCCACCCTCCCTGAATTCACTTATAGATTAGGTCCAATTAAGAGAACACATTAGTATTTTTATCAACAAAATAATTTTAAAGCTCATTTGGTAGGGGAAATAAATAAGGGACAAATCAAGTTTTAAACAGAACAGGAGGACTGAACAAACCTTTACTAAATAACAAGATATTGAACAGTTTCAGAAAAGAAAAAAATGTGGTGCCAATATAAAAGACATAATACAAAATGCAGAAATAAAAATACGTGGAAAATTGACACTGGGTGGCATTTCCAATCACCAGGAAAAGAAATGAAAAAGTAACCTTATTAGGACAACTGGCTCGCCCTTTGGGGTAAAATCACATTGGATCTGACTGCTCATCTTACATAGACACAACTTTCAAATGGATAAATATCAATGTTAAAAGAAAATCAGTAAAGAAAAAAAGAAACACAAGGAAATAGTTTTGTAACTGATGTGTATGTAAGGGCTTTCTGAACATTGTATTAGAATTAAAAAGCTTACAAGAATAAACTGACAAAATTTTAAACAATGAAAACAGAATCGGAGGGGACCAGCAGTTGGTGTAATGGCTATGTCGCTGGACTCCCATGTAGTGAACTGTGCTTCGAGTCCCGGACCTGGTGGCTTAAACTCATGCCAGGCATGTGTGCATGTGTGCCCAAGATTCCGAGAGAAGAATGAAGGAGAAGGGATTGCGGCATGGCCATCAAGCACACACGCCCTACAGCAAAAAAAAAAAAAAAAAAAAAAAAAAAAAAAAAAAAAAAAAAAAAAACATCTCCAAAAAAAAAAAAAAAAA